GGTGCTCTTATTCTCCATGGACTTTACAGTGTCCCAAAACTTTTTGGAATTAGTGCTACAGGATGCAAATTTCTGTTTGAAAAAGCTAGCCTTTGCTTTCCTAACTGATTGTGTATATTGGTTCCTGACTTCCCTGAAAAGTTGCATATTGCTGGGTCTGTTCGATGCTAATGCAGTACGCCACAGGATGTTTTTGTGCTGGTCAAGGGCAGGCAAGTCTGAGGAGAACCAGGGGCTATATCTGTTCTTAGTTCAGAATTTTCTTGAATGGGCCATGCTTATTTAAGATTGAGAGGAAACCACTTTTAAAGAACAACCAGGCATCCTCTACTGACGGAATGAGGTCAATATCCATCCAGGATACCCGGGCCAGGTCAATTAGAAAGGCCTGCTCGCTAAAGTGTTTTAGGGAGCGTTTGACAGTGATGAGGGGTGGTCGTTTGACCGCAGATCCGTTACGGACGCAGGCAATAAGGCAGTGATCGCTGAGATCCTGGTTGAAGACAGCGGAGGTGTATTTAGAGGGTAAATTTGTCAGGATGATATCTATGAGGGTGCCCATTTTTACAGATTTTGGGTTGTACCGGGTAGGTTCGTTGATAATTTGTGTGAGATTGAGGGCATCTAGTTTAGATTGTAGGACGGCCGGGGTGTTAAGCATATCCCAGTTTAGGTCACCAAGCAGTACGAACTCTGAGGATAGATGGGGGCAATCAGTTCACATATGGTGTCCAGGGCACAGCTCGGGCTGAGGGGGGGTCTGTAGCAAGCGGCAACAGTGAGAGACTTATTTCTGGAAAGGTGGATTTTTAGAAGTAGAAGCTCAAACTGTTTGGGCACAGACCTGGATAGTATGATAGGCAGTTCAATCGAGATGGAAAATGTTGTAGTTGGGGATGGACATTTCTGAATTTTTGGTGGCCTTCCTAAGCCAGGAATCAGACACTGCTAGAACATCAGGGTTGGCGGAGTGTGCTAACGCTGTGAATAACTCAAACTTAGGGAGGAGGCTTTGGATGTTAACGTGCAAGAAATACAGAAGTCAACCAATGATAATGCCTGGGGAGTAGGAGGGATAATGGTGGCTACAGGGCCTAGGTTAGCCTCTACATCACCAGAGGAACAGAGGAGGAGTAGAATAAGGATACGGCTAAAGGCTTTAAGAACTGGTGTTCTAGTGCGTTGTGTACAGAGAAAAAAATGGGCAGATTTCTGGGCGTTGTAGAATAGATTCAGGGAATTATGTACAGACAAGGATATGGAAGGATATGAGTACAGTGGAGGTAAACCTAAGGGTTGGGTAACGATGAAAGAGAGAGCATCACTGGAGGCACCGATTGAGCCTGTCTCTGCGTGTATGGGGGGTGGGACAAAGGAGCTGTCTAAGGCAGGTTGAGCTAGGCTGGGGGCTCTACAGTGAAATAGTACAATAAGAAATAACCAAAACAGCAATAAGCAAGGCATAGTGATATGGGAGGGAGGCAAAAAGCAATCACAGGTGTTATTCGAGAGCGCTAAGACAACAGCTGGTAATGGCGACAAAGTTTGGGCTGAGGCTAAACATAAACAGGATGCGGTACCGTATAAAGGAACAGTCCAGCAGGCATCAGCTGTATAGCTGAGTTATCATAAGGTCCGGTGAACAGCAATAGGAGAGTTCGGAGGTAGTTTGGGGGCTGCTACAGCACTGGCGAGCAAGAGGCCCGGCTTGCGTGTGCTAGCGGGCCGGGGCTAGCAGATGGATCTTCGTGGGCGACGTCGTAACGGGAAGCCTGTTGAAACCACATCAGACGATTTCGTCGGCAAACCAGTCGTGTTGGATCGGCAGGGCACCGTGTCAACACTAGGAGGTCCCATCCGGTTGACAGAGAGGTAGATAGCCGGGAGATGGGCCTGGCTCGAGGCTAGCTCAAGGCTAACCGGTGCTTGCTAAGGGGCAATGGTAATTAGCCAACGACAACAGCCATTTGGTTGCAGCTAGCTGCTTGCGATGATCCGGCGCTAGGGTCCAGTGATTCCGGCAGAAAATCCGATATGCTCTGGGTTGATAGCACGCTGTGCAGACTGGCTGACAAATTGTCCAGGCTAGAGCTGGCTGGTGGGTAGTGCAGGCCACGGACAATGGTGAAGACGCTAACGGTGGCTAATAGCAATTAGCCATTCGGTTGCAGCTTGGTTGCTTGATTGGGCGGATTAGATTATTCTGAGCAGTGACGTCATTGGGTGAAAGCAGGGAGGGAGGATCGTCATTCGCAAATTAACAGTAATCTGTGCAGCTCGGTCATTTTGTCAACAAGGCAGCATGGTGCATTGTCCAGAAACAAAACATCTCTTTCCCATAAAATACATTTTTGAGTTTTCTAACAACTTTTCATTGGGAAGGCATATATAAAGCGTTGTTTTCCCAAAGCAATCACTTTCGCATGTGAAAACGGAATCCTACTATACTGAACAAAAATATAAACGCAACATGAAACAATTTCAAAGCTTTTACTGAGTTCATATAAGGAAATCAGTCAATTGAAATAAATTCATTAGGCTCTAATCTATGGATTTAATGTGACTGGGCAGGGGTGCAGCCATGGGTGGGCCTTGTAGGGCATAGGCCCACCCACTTGGCAGCCAGGCCCACCCACTGGGGAGCCAAGCCCACCCAATCAGAATGAGTTTTTCCCCACAAAAGGGCTTTATTATAGACACAAATATTCCGCATGTCACGATGACACTCACTGGTCTTATTCAATGAGAGAAGTGGAAAAATGTGAAATGGACAAGATGGCGGTGTACATATTGTTGGATTATTTAATGGAGCAAAGTATTTATTTTAATAAGAGCATTTTCTAAATTCAAATGGCATTTTAGAAGATGCATGTTTGGTCAATCGAGAACAAAGCTGGTTTCACCAAGTTCAGGTTGGAAGAAAATTATTTGTGCTACGCCAAACCGTACCTTTCCTGTAACTGCTAATGGAGCATCACATTAGCCCATTACAATCTGCTAGTGATTTGATTTATTAGGAGCCCCATTAGCCGATGCCAATGGCGACAGCAAGTCTTACTGGGGTCTGACATATAACAAACAAGATATCAGTTACACATACATGTCAGTACATACAGTGCATTCAGAAAGTATTCAGACCACTTCACTTTTTCCACATTTTGTTACGTTACGGCCTTATTCTAAAATGGATTAAATTAACAAAGTACTTCAGCAAAGGCCTGAATACTTATGTAAATTTAATATAGCAGTTTTCTTTTTTTTAATGTGCAAAAATGTCAACCTGTTTTTGCTTTGTCATTATGGGGTATTGTGTGTAGATTGATTGGGGGGGGGGGGGGGGGGGGGGGGGAACAATTTAATCCATTTTAGAATAAGGCTGTAAGGTGAAAAAGTGAAGGGGTCTGAATACTTTCCGAATGCATTGTACACACAACAAGTGAAGTGAGGTGTTGCTTTATTTTTGTTTTTTGAAACCAGGTTTGCTGTGCACTTGTGCTATGTAATATGGAAGGGAGTTCCATGCACTCATCGCTCTGTATAATACTGTACGTTTCCTTGAATTTGTTCTGGACCTGGGGACTGTAAAAAGACCCCTGGTGGCATGTCTGGTGGGGTAAGTGTGTGTCAGTGCTGCGTGTAAGTTGATTTCCAACACATTCATGTTTCTTATAAAAACAAGAAGTGACGCAGTCAGTCTTTCCTCAACTCTTAGCCAAGAGAGACTGGCATGCATAGTATTCAAATTAGGCCTCTGATTACAATGAAGAGCAAGACAGGCCGCTCTGTTCTGGACCAGCTGCAGGTTAACTAGGTCTTTCTTTGCAGTACTTGACCATATGACTGGACAATAATCAAGATAAGCTAAAACTAGAGCCTGCAGGACTTTGGAGTGTGGTGTCAAAAAAGCAGAGCATCCCTTTTGTTACGGACGGGAGAGCCCCATCTTTACAACCATTGAATATATGTTTTGACCATGACAGTTTACAATCTAAGTAATTTAGTCTCCTCAACTTTATTCAACAGCCACAACATTCATTACCAGATTCAGCTGAGTTCTAGAATTTAGGGAAGGATTTATACCAAATACAATTCTCATAGTTTTAGAGATGTTTATTACTGGTTACCCATTCCAAAACAGACTGCAACTCTTTGTTAACGGTTTCAGTGACTTCATTGGCTGTGGTTGCTGATGTGTATATGGTTGAATCATCAGCATACATGGACACACATGCTTTGTTAAATGCCAGTGGCAGGTCATTGGTAAAACTAAAAAAGAGTAGAGGGCCTAGAGAGCTGCCCTGTGGTATGCCACACTTTACATGTTTGACATTTAGAGAAGCTTCCATTTAAAGAAAACCCACAAGTTCTATTAGACTGCCATATCGTGGATTCAGAGCTGAAGTTGAAAAGCCATAACACAAGTTTTCTCAACAACAGGTTATGCAGTAATATGTCAAACATTTTAATGCAAGTATTTTCATAACATGGAGGTGCATCCCCGGCCTCCGGGTGTGTGACGGGGACAGCGATTGTGAGGATGGCAGTGATTCCGCTGCAGGGAGTGACAGTGGTTTTCCCTGGTTAAAGACCAGTGGATCATAGGGGAGGCTGAATTCTCCAGTACAGCGTGTACCTGTAATAATTTGATAGCGTCCAGTAGCAGGGATGTCAAAGTCCAGTGTTTGAGTTTGCTGATTTTAATACTTGGCCATATCAGTTGTGACATTTCTGCTGGAGCACACTGTAGGTCTGTACACCTGTGTCATCATCGTGTGATCTGGATCGGGTTCACTAGACACCAAACAGACAAACGGGGAGAGGCTGCCTGAACTTGTCCAATAAGAAATTATATTTTTTGTTTTCCATTCCAAAACATTTTGTTACGTTTTGCTACAGTACACTATGAATATTTATATAAAATGTATTGAGAGAAGGTAATAATTGCATATGACAATTTTGTAATTTTGTGAAAATATTCTTATTTTGGCTGTGTTTCAGGGGAGTGGACCTGCCCAGGGTTTCTGTGTACAGATGGAGGTTGCGTTGCCCAGAGTGCTCTTTGTGACGGCACCGCGGACTGTCATGACTGCTCTGACGAGTTAGATCTTACCACAGGTAATACCTCTGCCACCTGGGTTGGGCTCAAGTTACACATGGAACGAATTGCTCAACATCATTGTATGGACAAAGTGCAAATTTCTTCATCCATCCGATTTTAACAGAGCCTCTTTCACAATCTTAAATACTATGGGCCACATTCACTAAGCTGATGCACAAATGCAACATTTGCTTAAATTCCAGAGGGATTAAAGCATAACAGTAACCAGAAAAGGTTTACAAAAGAAAAATGACCCCATGGGAAAGTTAGTCAGTGTCACACCCTGGCTAATGGACTCTATTTGTTGAGCCAGAGTGTGTTTGTTCTATGTGGTTATGTCTATGTTGGGGGTTCTAGTTAGTCTGTTTCTATGTTTGACTGAGTGACTCCCAATCAGAGGCAACGAGTGTCAGCTGTGTGCTGGTTGTCTCTGATTGGGAGCCATATTTAACTGTCTGTGTTTCACTTTGTGTTTGTGGGTTTTTGTTCCGTGTTCGGTCAGTGTCACCGTGGACTTCACGAGTCGTGTATTTGTTTTGTTTAGTGTGCTTTTTATCGCTGTCGATAATAAAGATCACCATGTTCGTGCAACACGCTGCGTATTGGTCTACTCACTCCTACGACGATCGTGACAGAAAAACCCACCAAAACGGGACCAAGCAGTGTGAAGAGGAGAGAGGAAGGACCTGGGATCAGTGGAGTAGGAGTTTCGACTGGGCCCCGCTAAGTGAAGAGAAGAGGGGCTGGTCTATGGAGCAGTGGATTAAAAGTCTCGACTGGGCCAAGCCAAGTGAAGAGCAGAGAGGTTGGACTTGGAAGCAGTGGGGTGAGAGTCTGGCGAGAACTAGGGAGGCCTGGTCCACGGGGAGGAGAGAACCCCAGAAAATTTTTAGGGGGGGGCTCACGACGTGGACGACGGGGCAGCAGGAGGCCGCGATGGAGCGGTCCAGCGGGTGTGCAGAGGAGGCCGCCAGGTTAAGGGGGCCACTGGTCACAGAGGAGAGGGAAAGTGTGGAGGCACGGCGAGAGGTACTGGGGTGTGTTACCAGTCCGGTCCGGCCCGTTCCTGATCCCTGCGTAGGGCCAGTGGTGTGTGTCCCCAGTACGGTCCGGCCTGTTCCTGTTCCTCGCATCGAGCCTGTGGTGCGTGTCGTCAGCCCGGCCCGGCCTGTTCCTCCTTCCCGCACCGAGCCTATGGTGCGCGTCGCCAGCCCAGCCCGGCCTGTTCCTGCTCCACGCACCAAGCCTACGGTGTGCGTCGCCCGGCCTGTTCCTGCTCCACGCACCAAACCTACGGTGTGCGTCGTCAGCCCGGCCCGGCCTGTTCCTGCCACTCGCACCAAACCTACGGTGTGCGTCGCCAGCCCGGCCCGGCCTGTTCCTGCCACTCGCACCAAACCTACGGTGCGCGTCGCCAGCCCGGCCCGGCCTGTTCCTGCCACTCGCACCAAACAGACGGTGCGCGTCGCCAGCCCGGCCCGGCCTGTTCCTGCCACTCGCACCAAGCCAGGGGTGCGAGTCGCCAGCCCGGCCCGGCCTGTTCCTGCCACTCGCACCAAGCCAGGGGTGCGAGTCGTCAGCCTGGTCCAGCCTGTTCCTGCCACTCGCACCAAGCCAGGGGTGCGAGTCGTCAGCCTGGTCCAGAACGTTCCTGCTACTCGCACCAAGCCAGGGGTGCGAGTCGTCAGTCCGGTGAGGCCCGTTCCGGCTCCACGCACCAAGCCAGGGGTGCGAGTCGTCAGTCCGGTGAGGCCCGTTCCGGCTCCACGCACAAAGCCAGGGGTGCAAGTCGTCAGCCCGGTCCGGCCCGTGGCTGCTCCACGCACCAGGCCAGGGGTGCGCATCGTCAGCCAGGTCCGGTCCTTTCCTGCCTCGCGCGCCAAGCCAGGGGTGCGCGTCGTCTGTCCGGCACAACCCGTGCCTGGGTCACCGGTGCCTAATCAGGTACCGGTCAACGGCTCCACAACGGAGCTGAAGCTAGCCGCTCCTGCTACGTCCAGGTCAGCTCCAGCCAGCGGGACCAGACCGGACCAGGGGCGCTATGGGGGGTTTATTGGAGGGTGGTGGGCAAGCCCGGAGCCAGAACCGCCGCCGAGGAGGTATGCCCACCCAGCCCTCCCCTGTTTTGCGTTTTTGAGGCGCGGTCGCAGTCCGCGCCTTTAGGGGGGGGTACTGTCACACCCTGGCTAATGGACTCTATTTGTTGAGCCAGAGTGTGTTTGTTCTATGTGGTTATGTCTATGTTGGGGGTTCTAGTTAGTCTGTTTCTATGTTTGACTGAGTGACTCCCAATCAGAGGCAACGAGTGTCAGCTGTGTGCTGGTTGTCTCTGATTGGGAGCCATATTTAACTGTCTGTGTTTCACTTTGTGTTTGTGGGTTTTTGTTCCGTGTTCGGTCAGTGTCACCGTGGACTTCACGAGTCGTGTATTTGTTTTGTTTAGTGTGCTTTTTATCGCTGTCGATAATAAAGATCACCATGTTCGTGCAACACGCTGCGTATTGGTCTACTCACTCCTACGACGATCGTGACAGTCAGTTTAATGTGATAGTTTATTTGTATTCCCCTCTGAAAATAATAGGTGCAAACTTTGTAAAAACGTAGGAAAGCTGTCCCTTTATTTAAAGTACATGACCACTAATTGCCTTCTATGGGCTTTCATCTTTCCCAGGTTTGTTCCAATGTAAGAAGGATGAGTTTGCCTGTGGCAGTAGGCGATGTGTATCCCTCCGCTTTCGCTGTGATGGCACTGACGACTGTGGCGATGGCAGTGACGAGGCCTCCTGTCAGAAGAACTGTACAGCCGACTCCTTCCTCTGTGAGCGGACTGGAAGCTGCGTTGCCAGGGCCAAGCTGTGTGACCGCTGGCCCGACTGCCCCGTTAGGCAAGACGTGGGTGCCGACGCATGTCCCTCCGGCCTGACCCGGGCCCCTCACACTTGCTTCAGCTCGGAGTTCAGTTGTGGGGACGGCCAGTGTGTGTGCCTCACTCCTGGAGGTGTGACCAATCGCCTGACTGTGCTGACACAAGCGACGAGGACGACTGTGGTGAGAACTATTGACACGTTATTACATCTATATCATTAGGCAGAAAACTGAAGAATATGGACTGAAACAGGGACCCCCTGGACTTGTCTAATTTGAACACAACCATGCTCTGCTGCTCTCCTCCTCCTAGACCAGCAGAGGGCGAAAGAACTTCACTCCTCAAGTTATAGCCTACTTGTTCCATTGTATTGACAGACAGTGGACCTATGATTATTTCCTTTAATTATGGTTTCAGTAATCAAAGAAATAGTAAGGATTCAGTGTTTGGTGTATATAGCACATGTGAACACATGCTATAGTAGAACACTGATCTCTTTAATGTTGCAACTAATAGTCTTGAGGTGGTTTGTTGCCCATAAAAATGTAATGCTTTTGATATTCTCTAACTAAGGGCTGGTGTCCCAGACACCGACTAGCCGATGTTTTTGATCTGTGTGCTATAAAAGTACAAACAAGCTCTGTTTAACATCCTGTAATGCATTTCCTGATAGACAGTAGTCAGCTTTCCATTTGCGTTTGTTTGTGATAACGGAAATTACCTATCCAATCTTTAAATATGGGTGTGTCTAGCTGCTGTTTTGTTTGGCATGGTACACCCTGCTTGGCTAAATATGACATTTGAAGGCAAACTGTTGGTTGACTAATTTGAATGACGCATGCACATTTCTAAAGTAATTTCTTGGCATTCTCTCAACCAGCTTCGAGGTAGTCACCTGGAATGCATTTCAATTAACAGGTGTGCCTTGTTAAAAGTTAATTTGTGGAATTTATTTCCTTAATGCGTTTGAGCCAATCAGTTGTGTTGTGACAAGGTAGGGTTGGTATACGGAAGATGGCCCTATTTGGTAAAAGACCAAGTCCATATTATGGCAAGAACAGCATAAAGGCCCCGTGTAGCTCAGTTGGTAGAGCATGGAGCTTGCAACGCCAGGGTTGTGGGTTCGTTTCCAACGGGGGGCCAGTATGAAAATGTATGCACTAACTAACTGTAAGTCGCTCTGGATAAGAGCGTCTGCTAATGACTAAAATGTAAATGTAATTACAATGGACAATTGTCATCCAGCTTGTTTATAACTATGCTACAGACTGATTGGTCCTGTATTCACTCTTCCCTGTCAGTGACCCTGTATCTTTCCCTATGTAGATCAGAATGAGTGTCTGGTGAACATTGGTGGCTGTTGTGGGAAATTATTCTCTTATATTTTAGATGTGCTGTTAGCTTAATAAGAAGGCATTAATGATTAAACATAATAGGTTTGTGCTGTACTGATATAGACTGTTTAACATAACAAGCTGTGATTAATGTGAGGAGCTGTTAGGGAGTAGGGGGAGATAAGGCTTGTGTCTCACACAGACACAAACACTGCCTCTTTGTTAGAACGCTCAAGGACATGTGTTCTGCTACAAAGATGTCTGAGGTTGCTGACTCTCTGGACAAGTTGCAAAACAACTAAACACCTGGCAACAGTGAAGCGCCAAGGGACTGGGACCAGCCTGTGCGCCAACGATAGGCTGAGTAAGTCTAAACCACACTCAGTCTCTACTCTGATAGGCCAGCAGGGAGCGGGAACTATCTCTGTCAGAGTATTTAAAGAAGAACTTATAACAATGGACCAGTTCTCTGACTGCCCTGTGTGGTATTTCAGTGGACCCGTATATACGAACATCATATTTACCATTGAAGTGTTTTGCATTAATTAAAATACTAGTCTATTTTAGGAGACGTGTATTGACCTCATTTTGTTCCAATACCAGATTTGAATTGACGCAAATTAACAATTGGTGACCTCTGACTGTGATCTGGTAAAGGGACTTTGCTGGGTATTGTCCGGCCCATTGGACTTCTCTGTCATTGAACGGTGTGTTTCACAAAGAGTCCGGACTACTAAAAACAGGTAAGCAGACACCTATTGTTATATAACTAAAGTTCTGCACATTGGCTTTATCCAAATTAATTTTGTGAAACACCTGTCTGATGTAAGTGAACTAAATTATGAAACTATTATGAGTAGATAAGCACCATATTGTGACATGCAAACCTGTGGTGAATGTGATGTTAAACCATGGTACCATAGAGTATTTGTTCTACCGGCAAGGTCCGTAACTGCGGGGGTACGGCTAGGATCGGAGGAAATACTGAAATCCCCAGGCTAGGACCACCGGAAGTGGGAACTGTGGGATATAGGGTATATTGGTCTAAAAGTGTTGCGCTACTGGCAAGGATCGTATCTATGAGGGGACGGCTAGGATCAGAGGGACACTTACAATTTTAGATAGTGTTGCGCTATCGGCAAGGTCCGTAACTAGTACAGCTAGGATCGTAGGAGCACTTTAAAGTACACTATAGTGTTGCGCTTCGGCAGGGAGTTGTACTTGGGGGTACACCCAGATCGGAGGAGCACTTTAAAGTATAGGGTGTCGTATACATGAGAGTGCGAATGATCCCAGTGTAAAAATAGTGTTTGCAGACGAAATAAAAGAGTGAATGCGGGTTACTAAAATTAATAAACCTGTATACCTTGATAGAAAACTAATTAGGAATTAAAGACGTCTGTGGCTGTCCAAACTGTATAATTTGTGAATAACTATTGGGTTTGTGGTTGTTTAAACCGTATAATTTGTGAATGATAATTGGGAATAGATATACTAAGGTAGAGAAATTAAAATAAAATGTATTAAAAGTGAGAAATAGAAACTTGAACCTACAATTTTAAAACGTTTAGAATAGAAATAAAAAGAAGGAAGCGTCATGTACATTAATATGGCAGGACACACAGAGGCGGAACGAGTGCTGAAAGTACTGAAGTCCACCCTTGAAACAAAAGGAGGGAGGGGCTAGAGACAGCGAGAGTGGCTTTTGGAAAGTCAGGAAAGACTAGAGAATTTTGCTAGAGAGTGTAAGGACCCGTGTAAATACTGTAACAAAACGGGTCATAACCATCGCGACTGCAGAGCTAAGGGAAAGGGCAATGTCCGGGAAATGACAGTCTATTTTTTGGTTCCACGGGTAAAATGTTTGAAGAAGTAATTTGTGTCAATTAAGAATTGGCTAAAAACACCACGAAGCGATTATTTGAGAGGTACCTATAAATTTCTAACGATATATACGTATGAACTTGCTCACCCGAACGTAGACGTACATCATGGGTGAGAAAGAAGAGAATATTTACATTTGCATTTTTGGTCATTTAGCAGACGCTCTTGTCTAGAGCTACTTGCAGGAGCAATTGGGGTTGGGTGCCTTGCTCGGGGGCACATTGGCAGATTTTTCGCCTGGTCGGCTCGGGGATTGGAACCAGCGACCTCTCGGTTGCTGGCGCGGCGCTCTTGGTCACTAAGCTGCCTGCCGCCCCATATGAGTTTAAGGTTGTGCCGTTGTTTGATCATGTGATAAGGTTTAATGGGTAATTGGACCATAACTAATGTGGTTATATAAGTAATGTATAAATAGTAGAGAGCAAATAGAGGGTTCCATTGAACTATTATGTTTTGTTGGGCATTTCAATGGCATAAGGTGAAATCTGTGTGCATGAGTGAATTCAACGGCTGGTATGGGTGGTGACCGGATACTACTGAGTATTTGGTATGTTGAATGGAAGATTTGTAGCATGGTTGGGGTTAAATAGAAAGACTCACTTATTCAATAGGGAGTGGGTGTAGGGAGAGAGAGTTTTTACGTGTATTAAAAGTTGAATTGGATAGCTTTAGAAGTATTCTAGAAAGGTCTATGAAAATATGTTACAAGGTCCCCGCGCCTTCCCCATTGTGTAGGAAGGAGCAAGGGGAGGGGTGAGAGACAGTTCAAATGATAGGAATATCATTAAATGTATGCTTATCAACGATAGCAAGTATTTGTTTTATTAATTAGGGCCTAATCAGAGAGAACAGTTAAAGAAATTGAATAGCGAACTGAAATGGCGATAGAGCTGTGAAAATTGAGTTGAGGACAAAGGAGAATAATTTATGGCTCTGGTTAGCGGGAGAAAAAATAAATGCTTGACTGACTGGAAGGCAGTGCTTTGATAAATTCTAATTGTTATTACTTTATTCGATAGGTTGGTTAACACCAGTGGTGTATGCAAATAGTTGGTGAATTCTAGAACGATAATTTATTTTCGTTACGGGGACCAGGGGATGCAAGTAGCTATTATGCTGAGGGAATAGCACCAACCTATAGTGGGTTCTAGATTTGTTAAATAAACAAACGTATATTTTAAACTAAAGTAATGCAATAGGCTACAATTATAACATTATCAGAAAAAGGCACAATTTAATGGGAAATAGTTATTACAATTATTATTAATAGTTATTACAGTTATTATCATTGATCCAGTAATGATAGAAGGATAGTAGAGGAAAGGCAAGGGATTAAATCTCATTTAGGGAAAGAAGAAGAGTATGAAGATATATTAGGGAGAAAATACCATTAACTGAGGGATATAAAACGTTTAGCTGAAAATGAAAACAGGAATAATTTACCTTACACCCTAATATAGACATTGCATTACTTTTGATGTAACCGTGATTGTATTGGCTAAAAAATGAAATATGACATTTACAGGGGGGACAGGAACAATAGAAGTGGAGACAGATTTTCCTAGGGGGTTGATCAAATAATTGATAATGGATCATTTGAGATGAGATCACATGTAGCAGAGTTAGGGTAATCAATTAAATAATAATTGTATACTCGAGGAATTTTGAGTGTTTTTATGGATTAGTTATGAGGAATTAGATTGATACAAACAATTATTGATGGGTTAGGACTGGGGATATCTGTATCATGTTTTGTGTGTACTACCATCTTTAGATTACTGATGGTAATTGAAGGTTAACAAAATGTATAACCAGGAGAAAGATATTAGCTTATCTCATTGGAATGTTGCCCAGGGCTAGGGGGAGCAGTAGTGAAGTTAGGCAGTATTTAGGTCATAAAAGTGAGCTACCAAATCAAGTGAGGCCTGGCTATTTGTGGTTGTTGTTTTTCAAATAAAAAACAACACACCTAGCATGATGTTTTATAAAGCCTTGTTGTTTCA